ACGGTCTCTGTCTCCGATTATGGCTCCTGATATCACCCCATGGGGGTACTGTGAGGTTAATTTTCGACCTAATTTTGGGCACTTTTCATCAACTCCCTCGCAGAGTAAGATATAATTTTAAACAAAACAAATGTCATCTACGTAAACCCCAATGCTTAAGCTTTTATAGGTAGGGATATTGGCTCGCAAGAATATTTCTCTTGCCTGTCCTACCTTGCACACGGCGGGCGCGCCTGAAATTCGAATTAACCAATCAGGATTCTGCAGACGGGAAAAACTCTACTGTCCTGTCGTTGAATGCATGTCGAATTGAAGTTGGGGATCTTTTCTCACCGGATATGGTGTTAAATAGTCACGAAAAAGGATTTTTTTTGACTCCAAAAACCACGTCAAATTGCAAAGAGTGAAAAATATGAAACATTTTGTGTCTCCAACCTTTTAATTTGGCGCCAAAAATGGGTCGCCCGCGCTGGGCGACTCGCTCTTCGATCGCTGTCGCCAGGTAGCCGGATAACAGTTGTGTCACTTTGAACATTTTGAACAAAATGTGTTGTTCCCCGTCAAACTAAAGCCAGAATTCTTGAGCTGAGTATTAGAAGAAGCCAAAGCAACTTAGAAATGTTTTTATTTTTTGTTAACTGTGAAGAAAAATACTATCATCACGTCGTTTCGGTGAGACAGCTAAATTTTGACTACCGACGGAACTGCGGGCGCAGCCACCGTATGCAAGGTATTAATCAGAATGTAGGCCTCTCATAAGCAAATCAGGAGAAACTGGGAATTATTTTCTGACCTATTATTTTGAATACCCAAAGTTTTCGCACAAAATTTGAGCATCCCTGGAAAGTTTAACTCTTAATGTAGAAATATGAATAAAAAATTACTAAGGCTGAGTCCGGGGGAGGTACTCCCAGAAAAATTGGGTGGGGGTGTGCGGACTGCTTCCCAAAACCCTTACCCTATTTATGACCAAAATCTGCGATATTCCCTACTCTGTTTATGACCTGACCAAAAATTCGAGACCCCTTTTATGACCTGACTCTTAAATCAAAACCCTGTTTCTGACCTGCGTTATAATAAGTTCCCTAGTTCAGACCAATGTTAAATTACCGTAAACATAATTTGTGAAAGGCTTTTGTTGATTTTCTTTTCGATAATGATGAAAAAGTGGCTTCTTCTTAAAAACATATACCCGTATCAAGGCTAGACTGCAAAAACCATACACTATTTATGACCAAAATGGCCAAAATCAGCTAAAATTGATACCCTATTTATGAGCAAAACGGCTGAAAAAACCATACCCTTCGGGGCCGTACATACCTATATAGCCCATATAAGGGAGCACCCCCCCTCCCCCCGGGAGGCTGATCTGAGGCTTTATGACATTGCGGAAACTTCCTTTAATTGAACGATACCATCCAGCCCACCTCTGGTGAAAGTCATTAGAGGGTGTCTACATAAACTAAATCCCAGCGATTTTAGTTGTAAAGGTAATTCCTGTTTTAAGCTATCAACAGAAGTTTACACATTGTTTATCACTAAAATGAGTTTGATTTTGTTTAAAATTCCAATTGCTTTTTTAGGGGTCGATAAAATTTTGGTCCAGTCGGAGTCGATGGTAATAGGCTATTTCTGAGCTACCTGGCGCTTCTCTGCATCAAAACGAGTCTTCGAGCAAAACCTTTCAATATATAGAATTATTTTATAGCGATTTACTAGAAACAAAATCATCCGGCTTTCTTTCCACGAATTTCAGAGAGAACGTTTTCACCTTTGTTGAGGACCTAGACATTCCCAAATTGTCTTTTGAGGAATCAGTGCCTCTTGAATCTGACCTGACACTTGATGAGATAAAAAACGTTTTAAAATCCTTTCAGAACAACAAATCCCCTGGGGAGGATGGCTTTTCCAAAGAATTTTATGAAACATTCTTCGAC